AAAGGTTTGGAGCATGGAATATACAGGCTCGTTCGGGTTTTCTAGGAAGTGACTTCCAAAGTAGCCCTTTTTCATGACCAATAAGACGTTGTTGTGTATTTAAAATGCCTTTTGGTCAGACTTTGGTCCGCGTTGTTTGTTCTCCTTGAGCGATTTCCCGCGTCAGCATATTTTGGCCTTTTCATTTTGTTTCAACGGCGTGCGCCTGTCATCGCCACATCTTAGCGCTCTGGCTGTTTGAAGCCGGCTGTGTCCTGCCCCGTGCAAGTGGACCACACAGTGACGCCTGGAGCATAGCGGGGTCTTTGAGGAGATGATGAATTAAATGTGAGAGTGTTATATTAGAGGGCTGGTGATTGCTCTTCTTTCAAGGGGTTTCTTTTAGTGACTCAAGCAGTGTGAACCACAGACGGTCCCCGGAGCCCCTGTGGTTGCTTTCCAGTGTTCAAACATAGCTCTGACTCTTAGCTCACACTGGCTGTAATACTTTGTGTGTTTTGGAAATCATTCGGGCTCCATCAACGATTCACTTCTGTTTTGCCACGTCCCTTTTTATTACTTCCTATTTAAAATGAATTTCTTCAAAGATCTACTTGATGTCCGCCCAAACTGTGCTCCGGCTTGATGCAAAAAATGCATACCAGTATTTTCGCAGAGCCTCAAATGTGGAATAAGTCTTCCTGAAGTCATACCGTTTGGCATTCTATTGAAGTTACCCATCTGAAGTTGCTCCAAACTTAAACTGATGCAAATCTAGCGGTGCTTCAGAATTCGTCAAAAGGCTTAACTCCCAAGTGTATTTTTGACGGAGAATACAAGTTTCTGTCATGGCCGCCGAGTACAATATGCTGGAGCTAAAGACGATCTATGTAAAGAGTCTCGCCTCCCAGGCACAAACGCTACGCCGATCCTCCCGTCAATCGAATGCAAGCGGATCCTGCACCTGACTGTGGTCGATCTCAAATGTTCAACCGTACTATGAATTTTTGAATTAACCTTACAAATCTGTATATCCTTCTCTTATGAGTTTGGGCTGTTCAACTATTGCCAATACAATGTACTTTTATACAACATAATTTGACTCAAAACATTGGCCGCGCAGCAATTGGTTTGTCTTTCATCGCCGGCGACTCCCGCCCTTTTTTGTTCTATTCCGAAGGAGCCAGCGAGTCACTCCAGTTGGCCGTCATTGTTGTCTAAGCGGGCTTCCTTCGCCATTCTCCCTCCGTCAATCCGAGCGAGCGGCTCGCAGGGTGCTCACATGGTAGTGATTGGGGTTTGTTTTGTGAGGCGACGCGGAGGGTATAACCACGCGGCTCCGCCAACAACGCGGCAGTGACTCGCCGTGTGGCATTCCAACTATTCTTCTTGTCTTGCTTTTTCAGTCCCCGCGATCCTCTTTTGTCTCCCGCAAACATCCGCAGAGTCTGCTCTTTGTGGTGGGCTCGTTACCGCGGTCCGTTAAAGTCACAATATGGAGCAAAATCTGAGGCCCTTTTGTCAAAGCGCCTTTTCTAAACAAGTCCGTTACTTTAATGTGGTGCCACAGAAATGGTTACATCAGGCAAACCAAACCTCTTGAAATCTAACCCAAAATGTTGTTTATGAATAATTTGACCACTGAGTACTGCACTCTTATTTTGCTGTTCTTCCAGCTTTTAGTAAAATGCGTAATTGTATGGAAGAAACCACCATAAAAAAAATAAAAAAATCTACCGCCATGAAAAGCAGAGTCCAGAAGCCTCTTGAGTGAACATTTTTATCTCATCAGTCTCGTTATTTCTTCCCTTGGCCCTTTATTATCATCATCACCGTCAGCATTTTTCACAGTCAAGAATCATTTGAGTTTATTGTTTTCGTTTTAGGTGTGTGTTTGTGTGTGTGTGTGAGAGATGAGGCCCCTTAAAGTCCTTTGTAACAAAGAATACCCACATCTAAAGGTCCTTCCTTCTCATATGTTGTCCATACATTCTTACCTCCTGGAATGCCTTCTTTTTTTTTTTTTAATGTTCCAGCTCATGTCTTTGAAGCAATGCCAACAGAATCGTCCTCAATTAGCTTTCATGATCCTAACGATCGTTGCTGTAAGCATCAAGCGGCAATAACCTGCTGCTTCCATATTGTGTTGCCCCGACTTCCACAGAAACTGTTGTGTCAACTTACCACCGAAGAGGACGAATCGCCATCGGATTTTTTGCTCAAACATTTAGACTTGTCGCCAACGCGGTACCATAACCAAGTCCTCCGAAAGGTATTGCTTCTCACTGATTATCCTGGCCTGCTGAATGCATTGTGATACAATGAAACAGAATGATACTTTGACCACTCTTCAGGTGGTGGCACGGTTGCAGGAAGACGTCAGAAAAAGCTGCAATTCATTGGGACACGTAAATGAGAGGTGAGGCAAAATAGTTACAAGACCCTGTGAAGTGAATTCGGAGATTGCTTTCAAAATACGTTACAAAAGTTACTTTGAAGAGAATTACTGAAAATGTGCAAAGAAAGAACTATATACTGTAGTACTCAAAAGTGGAGCTGGTGCGTTAAAAAACTGTTTTCACCATTTCGTTTTTCCTGATTTTCTCCTGAGTCCGCCCACCCCCACTGTATAAAAACTTCAGTGGTTATCCGCGCAGTTACTTGTGTTACTATAACTCGGCCAAAGCCCGTGAGCTCATAAGCTCACGGCCCTCATTGTGGCATAAAAAAAAAAACCCTTCAGCATGTGGCCATGTGGGCAAGTTGCTCGATGAAGTAGCACCCACTATTCAGTGTCATGCGTTCATAAGACACACCCACAACATTCGTGGAAAATGCGTAATAAATGTTTATCAGTGTTTTTGGGAGAAAAAAAAAATACACAACATTACAGTGTACACAGCAAGAGGTGCAGGGTTCGATTCCGGCTCCTCCCTTTATGAAGTTTGCATGTTCTCCCCGTGCCGGCGTGGGTTTTCTTCGGGTACTCTGGTTTCCTCCCACATTCCAAAAAGATGCATGACATGTTAATGGAACACTCTAAATTGTCTCTATAGGTGTGATTGTGCGCGAAAGGTTGTTTGTCTAAGTATGCCCTGCGATTAGCTGGCAACCAGTTCAGGGTGTACCCCGCCGACTGCCCGAAGACAGCTGGGATAGGCTGCAACACGCCCGCGGCCCTTGTGAGGATAAGCGGATTAGAAAATGGAAGGATGGATGGATGGATAATGTTCAATATATATCAATATGGACTGACATGAATTACTTCTATTGTGATCCACTTTTCGACCGTATCGCCCAGCTCTCGTACATCCCCTGAATGAAAGCCTTTGTGTGCAGGTGTTCATGTGATAGGATTGTGTCCACATGCGTGGCTTGCGTTCCCCTGGTGACTTGCCCCGAGGTCGCTCCTCTTCTTGGAGCCTTGCTGCAGCGTCCACTCACATGTGCGCAAGCAACTCTCACCAATGACTTCTTGGATGCTGTGAGCTCTGCCTATCGCAGGTATTCCAACTTGCACATCGCAGGTGTGCATAAGAAGTATTTATGCGATTTTAATTTGAGTCACCTGAAATTGTACCTTTTTTTTCTCAAAAAAACATGTTTTCATCATATTTCAACTTCATTCACATAAAAAAAAAAAAGTTTTTTTTATCTTTGTTATATTGAAACTCCTGTCATGCTTTTAATCATAGTAGTCTTACTTTATCTGGTAAAAAAATGAAAAGTTAAGAGCATCTTAATAATAAAAACCATCTTTATTGACTTAAAAATGACAATTTGCCATCACCTCGATATACCTGCACTTCATTTACCGTTTAAAAATGTGCCAAATATTTTGACTCGATCCTTGTCAAGTTACAACTTTAGTCTCTTAAAATTCTAACTTGAAACCAAAAATGGCGTCTTTGTATTTTGATCCTTCATATTTCTCATAGGCTCTGATGTTTTGACAAAATTTCTGTGTCTCTTAATCAGTTGGTTATTTAATCACTGTTTGGACTTGGCCTCTTCTTCCCCCGCCGAATTGTAATAACGTAGTTCGTGTGCCTTTTGCAACGGTGCTTGGCACATGTTGCTTTTTATATTCCTCGTATTCTTCTAGGAGCAATCAATGTTAAGTGTGTTGTGTATATCAGGACACAAATCATCGGCTCTAATTTCTTTGCTTGACTCTCTGATTGCATTGTTTTTAGAAAGTATCCAAAGCCGAGCCTCCACATCTGGTTAGCAGATGGTTTCCCTTACAATGTGATACAATGCGATGTGACACAATAGATATAACTTGATTCCCCCCCAAACAGCGGTTCCTTGTCACTGGAAAATCAGGCTGTCGTGGCCCTGTGGTGTCACAGCCTGCCCAGCCTGGAGGAGGCGATGCTCGGTCTGCTGGAGTCCACCGGCTTCGCTGACACGCCGCTGTCACCGCAGCAGCTCGAGCAGCAAATAGCGCAGTCACTTCTGGTTGGTGTGCTCCACCGCACTGTCAAATGACTATTAAACAAACGGGACAGTTGCCACTTTATATTCCCACCCCCCCTCCCCCCCACTGCCCCCATTTGCGCCAATGCGTAATATAGCGTCATGGTAGAATTAAGAGGCCATCGTACTCATCTGCCCTCAATTAGAGTCTCACATCTAATTTCATTATTGTAATATTAGATTTATTTTTTAAAGAACATTTGAAAGATTTCCACAGATTATTTTTTTTCCCCCCTTTGCCGTTGGTGGATTTGTCCAGAGTGTGTCTCACATCATCTGGCCAGCTCCAAACTGCATCTCACATCATTTGGCGAGCACAGTCACAGTCTTTATTGTGCGGGTTAAATTGTTTGAGTCTCCGCAGCCCATCCTCCCTCCAACCCCCCGCCACCATCCCCTTTCACAGAGCGTAAAGTAACGCCCAGGTTTGTCGAGCGACAAAGTCATTTATCATATGATGATGATTAAGTTAATGAAGAAAGTTGTGTTGCGAGACAAAGTACAAGTCTGTCCGACACAAATAGCATCACAATTCTGTTTGTTCAAAATCTTGGCTGCCACACACTGAAGACTACAGCGAAAAGACAAAAACAAACTCCCAAAAAACAAAAACAAAAAAAACGGTGAATTTACTAAAAAAGTTTGAAAGTCATAATTTTAGCTTCACGATTCCCACACAAACATCCAGTAGATGCAACAGGCTAAGACCAGCAGCCGCTTGAAATATTCTTTCTTTGCCATTCTTTATTCTTGTTAAATTGATGTTTTTTTCACCAAACATTGCAACTTTATAGAGTTAAGTTTCTTGTACTACAATAGCGTGACATTGGTACACACAGAAAAATTTGGCAGCCATCTCGCCTTGCTCAAGTTTTTTTTGTCGGTGGTGTCACTGCTATTTTCCAACAGTGATGGTCCACTTGAGCTGTTGTGAGCTGCCTAACAATGCACACTTTTTGCAATTTCAGGTTCTGAAGCCATAAAATGAGATAGACGACTAACACGGCCCTGAGAAATGTTCTATATCCGCCTGTTGATTGCACTCTCTGACCATCTCATGTTCACACGAATCAGGGCTGACGGCAAGAAGGTGGACGCATTTTCTGTATGCATTAGGGAGAGATTGAAACGGCAATCTGTTGTTTATGTCCGGATGAGATTTGTTTATGCTTTCATCCTTCTCTGATTTACCTCTTGTGTGTGTGTGTGTGTGTGTGTTTTTTTTATCACCTTGGTATACACACACATGCACACACGTCTTCAGTGGACATACTTTGTTTATGTTCTTCCATCTGGTGTAGTGTGTCAGTCGTTAAGAGTGGAGGAGGCAAGCGTTGAGGTTTCACTTCGCCTTAAGGTTGTGTTTGGATGTCATATGTGCACACACATGTGCAAAGGCAAAGAAAAAAAATAGTTGACCGACTTGGCTCTCTCTTTGTGCATTCAAACAAAGAAGTCTGACATTAGGTTGGGCATTTATCGTTTGGACTTGTGCCGGCCACCTCCCCGTGATCTATAAGGACTCAAGCCCAATAACAATAAACTGTTTCCGACCGCCGAAGCAAGAGAAAGAAAGAAAGAGGAAAAAAAAAAGAAAACAGGATGTTTGTTGCGTGCCATAATTGAGCCTCCTTCAAGTGTTAGCGGTAAGGTAATGGAGGCGGACACTGAAAGGCCCATCTGTTTCAAATAGCGGGAGCCGTGGCCCGGCGTGCATACTGGCGTGCAAAGCAAACTGCAAATACATCCGTACACTTTGATGCATGGACACATTATTGCAGTCCACATACTTATTTAACACGCAAGCTGTTTTTGCTTGCAAGGGTCATCGTTTTTTTTTACAAGAAACAGCCGGAGAATGAATGAAATGTGGAGATGTAATACCATCGGGAATCCACTTGGTGCCGCTGTTTACTAAAAGAAACCCCTTGAACCCATCTGATAACTGTCTATCCGAGGATATTGATGCACGCTTATCTTTAGAAGGGAAACACTGGAACAAGCTCCTTTGCATTTCACAGTCGATACAATGTCATTACTTACAAGTGTGTAATTTGGGTATACGGTCTTGCTCGTAATATTGCTAGTTTAACTCTGTAGAATCATTACTTTTCCATAATCTCCAAATACCACCTGCTTGGGATAAGATAATAAAGGACATTTTATTTTCTCGTGATATATATATATATTGTAATGTGTCATTATTCTCAAGAAATTCCGAGTGTATTGTTTCATATCTTAACTTGATATATTTTTTCTTTTGCTCAATGAATTAATTTCTGTAATCATTTGTAATTACCGGATAAAGTACTTTAACTGTATCTTGTAAGTTACACCTTCATCGGGTGAAAAAAATGACAAAATGAAACCCTTCCCGTAATATTACTGCTTTGTTTTTTTGATTATGAAAAGTAAATTGTGTTTTTGCGCCTACATGTGATAAATGTGCTCCGATCCCGTTGTCTGTGTGAGAGCACATGTTCAAGTGTTGGTTCTTCATGAAAATGTCGATGCATATTTAAACACGGGATGGGGTTGGGGGGTTGGGGGCGCAGTACAGCTGTTTAGCGTTTGCGCTCGGACGTTTTTCAAACGCCTTCAATCTAAAACACGTGAAGCGCTTTTCAATCGATGGGTATTTTCGGGAAAAACGAAACGGGACTCGAATTTGGGCACAAGTTGATCTGGAGGGACATCTTGTGGTGCGGGCCCATAACGCCCTTTGCCTGTTTTCCAGCCTCAGGCCTGCGCTCAACATTGCTCCATCTTCTTGGTGGCGAGTGACATCTTCAGGTGAGTCCCACTTTTTGTCATTCGTTGTTGGATATGCGGGGGAGTGCCTTGATTTACGTCGCTACCACTTCAGCGTTATTCCTCTCCTTGTTTTGGGCCGACTTGGGTGCGATTTGTGTTGGCAGGTCCATCCTCAAGAAACAGGAGGATCGCCCGTGCGTGAGGGATCTCATCCAAAGCTTTACCAGCTGCTTCTATCGGGAACTGACACTCTTACCGGCACAGGTACTGGATACTTTATTCCATTTTTAATTACATTTTTTAAAAAAACATTCATTTCTCTAAAGTTTGGCATGAATGATCACTCATATTGGCCTGCATCAGCAATGTATTGTATTTTTTTTTTTTTTACTATGCAATAGTCAGTGTTTATCTCGCAAAAGTATACTTTTTTTCCTTCACTAATATTACGGCTTTATTCTAATAATCCGAAATGATTCTTGTAATATTTCAACTTCATTCTCGGGAGTTCTCCTCTTGTAATACTGTATGGCAGGGGTGTCAAGCTCATTTTTTGTCGCGGGCCACTTCGGAATTACGGCTTCCATCGAAGGGCCGGTGCAAAATCTCAATGTTATTTATTAGCCATGACAATTTGACACTTCGGTACAGATTTCAGCAACAATCATGATAGTTGACACACATGATTTGCTCCTGCGGGCCACATAAAATGACATGGGGGGCCGGATCTGGGGCCCCCGGGCCTTGACTTTTGACACCTGTGCTGTATGGCTTTCTTTAGTGAAGTCAAAGTAAACGCTTCTCCTGTAATATTATGAAAATACAGTAAAACAATGTTTTATTTACGTACAACACTTTGTTGCAGTGATCTATAAATACATTTGAGCTCTAGCTACTAAAATAATTTCATATTATTACTAATATTGCAACTTGATGTATTATAATTTGTTTTCCCTCTTCATGTTATGTTATTTATTTAACATTTCCCCTCCATACATTATGACTGAATCTAGTGCAATAAATGTTTTCCTTGCATAGTTGTCCACTTTAACCGTCCGACCCCTAATTTTAATTTTATTTCTTAAAATATTTCCCCGTCACTCATTTTAAAACTTTATCATGTATGTTTATTTTTCGCTTTTTAAGAGTATGACTATAATACTTTTTCCAAACTATATTCTTATCATACTTGGAATGCCACCTGGCATAAATTAGTGAATGTGAATTGCATTACAATGACAGTTTTGGAATTGAATGTTCAGCTAACAAAAACTCCCTGGCCTCAATATTAGCTCCACACATTTAATGCACGCTCTCAAATCGCTCCCATAACTTTTGATTGTCACAATGTTTATTTTTGTATTGGTGTAGAATTCCATGAAACGCGACTTGAGCGCCGCTCTTGGATTGCCTTTCTTTCTTCGAGGAGCAAATAGTTGGAAACACTAGATGGCAGTGGCAGCCTACTCAACAGATGTCGTCTTGCCGGCTGCTGTCACACTATACAAAAAAAAACTAACCTATTACACGCTTCGTTACAACATGCCACGCAACCTCAACATCATCTATGCGTCACTTGTCATTGGCAGAGTGCCACTCATTCATTCACACTTTTTTTTTTTTGTGCCACTTCAGAACCCTTTGAAGGCCTTCTTCCCTCACTCCCCCCCGAATCTGCTGCTTCCGCTCTTGACACAGCCTCCAGGTCAGTGTGTGTGTGTGTGTGTGTGTGTGTGTCTAATCTCTCAACACACAATACCTTGTATTGTCCAGACTAGACGTAGCTTCCTGCTACGCAATGAATGAATACTTGTTTCGCCAATCAATATTAGTTAATAACGGTGACGATTGCTCTCACATGATGTACAGTCAGTGTCAATCATCAGTCATTGAAAGTATTCAGCATGGGCGCAACCCGCTTCCTCACAAGCACAAGCCACCTCTTGTGCGCTCATCAGTCAAAACATTAGCTATACCTTCGCAATCAATACAAAAGCTGCAGTTCCCCCTTTATATCGGTATTGCTTGTGAGACGCTGTCAAAAACACATATACAAAAATGACAACACTGGCAAGGCGCTGCTGTAGGTCACAGCTCACGCCCAGGCGCTCACATGCAGACCAACCAACTCTAGCTCCCGACTTTACTCATTAGGCCACAGGCCAACATCAAATTCGACGCAGGGTTCCCACAGATCCCTAAAATGTCTTATCGGCATTTAATCCATGAATCTAAAAATCAGGCCATAATTTGTCATTAAAATGTATGAAAATGTCAACACGTGACAAGTACTTTTTTGGGGGGATCAAAGATTGTAAATGTAAGGGTCTGACCGATTCATCGGCAAGCCGATAGGGAAGGAAACTAGAGAGAACGTGCACAGAGATGTTCCGATGCAGATTCGATACCAGATCTCCTGAAGGTGAAGTGGATGTAAAAACAAGCGCTTCACCGTGCTGCCCCCTTTCCTAAATAATATTCATCCGTCCATTTATTTTCTCTTGCACTTATCCTGATTAAAGTGGAGGGTGAGCTGGAGCCTGTCCGTGCTCACTTTAGCTAGACTGGTTGCCTGCCAATCTCTTCTCACCCAGCGATTCTCAAAGTAGTCGTACGCTGGCTCCCTCTAGTGGTACGTGACAGAATCACTACCTAAGTACGCTGTTTTTGTTGTATTTACCTTTTTAGTACATTTGTGTTTCATTTTCAAAAGTTGTTTGTTTTTAAACTTTTTGGTATATATAATTTTTTTTTTAAAAATTTGCAGTACATTTTCAATTGGATTGTTATTTATGGACAATTTTTCAATTTCCTCAGCGCGGTTGACTTTCAAAATGTGCCGTTTATACAGAACAACAAGCTTGGAAAAAGTTGGCGGCTCCCGCAGGGAGTATGAAAAGAGCTGTTATGAAATCCACAACTGTCAATAATGTTGCTTTTAACATTTTAATGGGAAATAATATGAAAATAACATATCCTACTGAGAGATGGTCCAAAATATGGGAGCGCCGCTACTTCTTGGTTCCACTCCACTGTAAACTACAATCACAATCAATAAACATGAACTTAGGTCTCTTTGTCAGGACAAAATAGTTGCTCCACTTAAAAAGTGTGACTTTTCCTAAACTGTAAAGTCGTCTCGTTTGTGGAGAGCCAAGTTGTTTTTTTTTTTTAAATTAGGGACATTTTTCCTCGAGTATAACTCGCCACGTTGCAGGTTTTTCAGCATTTAATTGAGTGTAAAAGTGCAGATTTGAGTGCTGTGTGTGTGTGCGTGCATGTGTGCACCGGTGTGTCCTTTGCAGAGGCGTCTGGGGAGGCTCGCAGACGTCACTTGAACTGGCTCAGCGACTCATTACACAGACTGACAGAGGGGGAAGAGGAGGCAGGTGGCAGTGGCAGGTTGGACACTTTATCTTCTCTTCTCTTAATTTCTCTCATCTGCTTCATTTGGGTTGGTCAGTGGGCTTTAGTCAACATTTCTGTGCATCATTTATTTAATTTTTTTTAATGTATATCGTGCCTAGATAAGTTCAGTGCCGAACAAGTGCAGTCCACATGTTTACATGTCATTTAACGAATTATGAAAAGCCACAGATTGAGTTTGCATTGTTGTTGTCATTTGGTTTTGGACTTCCCGACTTATATTTCTGGCACGCCTGTTTGATGGAATTTTTGCGAAATTGTCGTTGAGAATGCTTAAAAGACTGCAAGACAAAGGGTGAAGTAAATAATACCACGCGATGAATAAACCGTCTTTCATATTGACATCTATTGATTCCCCAACACAACAATTCGTATCAGCATCTCGTTCATGTTATTTTTCAGCTAATATTTTGCAGGTCATGTCCGCGAGCAAGAGACTGACGTCAGTCACACTCGCCGCCGCGCGTTGACGTCAGTTAGGAAAAGCGGAGTCGCGTTCATTTGAGGCAGTGCTGTCCTTCGCCGTGTCGGAAAAGAAGCACCTTTTTAACTCTCGATGATGTCATCCAACCAAGGTTAAGAAAAGTTAGCAATGAAGGCTTACGAGATCGGACTTTCCCCAAGAGGCCCGCGGCTTATCGTCCTTTATTTTACGGCAACACTTGAAATACAGATTAATTTGGCGCGTGTTTGTTCAAAAAAAAAATAATACATAGGAAGTGGACCTTAAATAAACTAAAACTACAATCTCGATATTGAGGAAGAAATACTGCCTTTAGATGATGTTCAGACACCATGATCTCACGTAATCTGATGTCATCTCTCTAGCGATGGTGTTGGCGTCGTATTTGAGGCCTGGTTCGTGCTGGTCCAGTGTTCCCACTGGGTGCACGAGGCCCTCCGGTTGCTGGCCACCACTGAGGCCCGAGACTGCCACCCACTGTTGTGGCTGCTGACCTTTTACCACCACCCCACCAACAGGGGGCACCACAGAAATCAACAACTGGTAATGTTGTCTTCCCCAAACAGTATCCTCAGTGTGTGTGTGTGTGTGTGTGTGTGTGTGTGTGTGTGTGTGTGTGTGTGTAATAGAAAAATATTCACAATTTTCCGAGTTAGATTATGCTATCAATCTTTAAAATATTCTTTTTTTTTTCAATCTAAAGCCGTCGTTTGTGGCCGTCTTTCCAGGTATGCGTGCGACAAGTCTGGGAGCAGATGCGCATCCTTTTCTCAGCCGCTCATCTCGATCCCGCGGAGCCGCTCGGTGCTTTGCTGTCCGTCATCTCGACGGGCGCTCGGCGGCCATCGCCGTCATTGATCCTCGGCTTGGTGGTCAACTGCGCCGTTTTCTCCCGCCAGTCGCACGAGGTCTCCGCACGCATCGTGCGCACGGTGAGGTGGCCGCCATGCAAATAGGTTGTCCGCCCACTGAGGTGGAAAGGGGAGAAGTGGCAGTAAAACAGGCCAAAAATCCAGATGTCAGAGGGCAGGGTTCTAACAGACAGTTAATCTTATTCAAGGTAAGGATCTTTGATACCTGCCGACTTCCATACTTTGCTTCCTTCCTGCTTTTGAGACCATCCATGTCACCATCCCTCCCGACCTTCTTCCTTTTCTGCCTTCCATCTTTCTTTCCTTCATTCTTTTTATGCCTTCTTCCATCCTTCCACACGCTCAATTCAGCACCCTTCCCGACTTTCCTTTTTTCCAATTCAACCTTCATCTTTTCTTCTTTCCTTCCGTTTACATCAGCCCGCCTTCATTCCTTTCGTTGTTTCAGCACCTCCCTTTTTTTTTTTATTCATGCCATCCCTCCACCCACTCTACCTTCTTTCCTACTGTCCGGCCGGCCTCTCATTAGTCGACTTTCTTTTTGCGTCTGTCCTTCTTTTATACATTCTTCTCCCACTCCCTCTTATTTCTTTCTAACTACATCCCCACTTTCCTTTTATGCCAACCTTCATCCTTCTAAATTGCCTTCTTTTTATACCCTCTGGCCTCTGTCCAATCAATCAAACTTCCTTCCTTCATCTTTCTTTCCACCTTTCCTTTGTTTCATAGCATCCCTCCACCCACTCTTTACTTCCTTCCTTTCACATCCCTCCCTAACTTCCTGTCCTTCATTCCTTCCTTCTTCAATCTCCCCTTCCTTTCTTCCGTGTCCCCTTTCATACCATTCTTCCACCCTCTGTGGAAATAGAGCATAGCGAGTTGCGGATGCTAATCTTATGTTACAGTGAGACAAGTGTGCCATTTGTGTGTCTCCATGTGATAATACCTGCCAAGCTGTCGAATGAGTTTGCATATGATTAGGCATGTGTGCGCACGGCACCAGGTGGCGGCTGCGTCCGGTTCGGTCAGTGAAGCGTTACGCGTGCTGAGCCTGCTGGAGCGTCGGCTCAGTACGGGAAGCGGCAGCGGCCCCTCGTCGAGCGACACCCATGCGGCATCTGTCAGGATCCATCGGCTTCAGAACGCGCTCGCCACCCCTGCGCTCCCACCGCGGCAACTGAACCTCCCTCAAGCGGGAGACACCCACCTCTCACACACACCCAGGTGCGACCCCACATGCACAGGCACACACACATGCTGGATGGTAACGCACCCCGGTGAGTTCGGTTTCAGTTCAGGGTCTGCTTCATGAGCAACGTTAGCATCGTTAATGAAGGCCATGCTCAGGATGGGAGTCTAAATAACACACGTGAGGACACAAACACACACGCGCGGCATACAAGGACGGTGGAGCAGTGAGCAGTCTGTCTGAAATGAATACATGTCAAACTTATGATTGAGAAGAAGCTCGGGCAATATCCAAGCTATGCCGTTACTATCCATGCAAAAAAAAGAAAAAAGTGATTGTAAAAAGTGCTTAAAAATGATCCGCCTTTTTTTCTTGTAATATTCAACAATGACTATTTTCTGGGAACATTGAAACTTTGTTCTATTAACAATCTTCCATTACAGTATTTTGTGGCTGTCTTGCTTTCGATATTAATTTTCTCGTAGTGTTCCCACTTTTTTCTCCTTCACAACTTACCCTAATTCTCTGCTGCTACTATGCATAATTAAGTATTGATTAAATTGGAGTGCAACTTATTCCTCATTGTTTAAATGTTGAACCATCATTTGAAGAAACTAAGATCTATTATTATTGCATGATGACCTTGTCTGTGCTTCCCACATTCTTATTCACATTGTGCTGTATCTGTTACATGAGGTCATGTGTTATGTATGAAAACACCTGAATGAATTTCCAGTATAAACTCTTCACAGCCTGATTGGAGGTCTAGACTAAACACAGCCCAAAGACACGGATCAAGTTCTTCTCTCCCATTTTTATTTCAGCCGTTAAAAAAAAAAAAAAAAAACAAGTGACATTTTCAAGCATGACGATGAAGTAGCGTCTATTGTTCAAAGTTGACGTTTCTTTTTTCTTTGAAACGTTTCCTCTTCAGTTAGGAGGCCACGGCCACAACGTCGGACCGCCCCAAACATTCCGAGTGGTCGCCACAACTTGTTCCACCCTCGTGTGACCTCTTGTTTGCGTCTGTCCTTCTTTTATACATTCTTCTCCCACTCCCTCTTATTTCTTTCTAACTACATCCCCACTTTCCTTTTATGCCAACCTTCATCCTTCTAAATTGCCTTCTTTTTATACCCTCTGGCCTCTGTCCAATCAATCAAACTTCCTTCCTTCATCTTTCTTTCCACCTTTCCTTTGTTTCATAGCATCCCTCCACCCACTCTTTACTTCCTTCCTTTCACATCCCTCCCTAACTTCCTGTCCTTCATTCCTTCCTTCTTCAATCTCCCCTTCCTTTCTTCCGTGTCCCCTTTCATACCATTCTTCCACCCTCTGTGGAAATAGAGCATAGCGAGTTGCGGATGCTAATCTTATGTTACAGTGAGACAAGTGTGCCATTTGTGTGTCTCCATGTGATAATACCTGCCAAGCTGTCGAATGAGTTTGCATATGATTAGGCATGTGTGCGCACGGCACCAGGTGGCGGCTGCGTCCGGTTCGGTCAGTGAAGCGTTACGCGTGCTGAGCCTGCTGGAGCGTCGGCTCAGTACGGGAAGCGGCAGCGGCCCCTCGTCGAGCGACACCCATGCGGCATCTGTCAGGATCCATCGGCTTCAGAACGCGCTCGCCACCCCTGCGCTCCCACCGCGGCAACTGAACCTCCCTCAAGCGGGAGACACCCACCTCTCACACACACCCAGGTGCGACCCCACATGCACAGGCACACACACATGCTGGATGGTAACGCACCCCGGTGAGTTCGGTTTCAGTTCAGGGTCTGCTTCATGAGCAACGTTAGCATCGTTAATGAAGGCCATGCTCAGGATGGGAGTCTAAATAACACACGTGAGGACACAAACACACACGCGCGGCATACAAGGACGGTGGAGCAGTGAGCAGTCTGTCTGAAATGAATACATGTCAAACTTATGATTGAGAAGAAGCTCGGGCAATATCCAAGCTATGCCGTTACTATCCATGCAAAAAAAAGAAAAAAGTGATTGTAAAAAGTGCTTAAAAATGATCCGCCTTTTTTTCTTGTAATATTCAACAATGACTATTTTCTGGGAACATTGAAACTTTGTTCTATTAACAATCTTCCATTACAGTATTTTGTGGCTGTCTTGCTTTCGATATTAATTTTCTCGTAGTGTTCCCACTTTTTTCTCCTTCACAACTTACCCTAATTCTCTGCTGCTACTATGCATAATTAAGTATTGATTAAATTGGAGTGCAACTTATTCCTCATTGTTTAAATGTTGAACCATCATTTGAAGAAACTAAGATCTATTATTATTGCATGATGACCTTGTCTGTGCTTCCCACATTCTTATTCACATTGTGCTGTATCTGTTACATGAGGTCATGTGTTATGTATGAAAACACCTGAATGAATTTCCAGTATAAACTCTTCACAGCCTGATTGGAGGTCTAGACTAAACACAGCCCAAAGACACGGATCAAGTTCTTCTCTCCCATTTTTATTTCAGCCGTTAAAAAAAAAAAAAAAAAACAAGTGACATTTTCAAGCATGACGATGAAGTAGCGTCTATTGTTCAAAGTTGACGTTTCTTTTTTCTTTGAAACGTTTCCTCTTCAGTTAGGAGGCCACGGCCACAACGTCGGACCGCCCCAAACATTCCGAGTGGTCGCCACAACTTGTTCCACCCTCGTGTGACCTCTTGGTTGTCAGCAGCCTTGGAGAAGAGAGAGAAAGTGGAATGGCCATTATGGAGCTGGAGCTACAAGAAACACTCAACAGGAGAGGGTACGGGACTTTTACATACTCTCTGTTGGACATATTGTAAATAAGAATAAAACATTCTGAAGTGATCAGCTTCACATTGATGACATCTTTGCAACTCACTCACAATAACATTCAGTCATGGGTTGATTTTATGCTGACAATTCGGAACAACAATAAAAAGTGCCCAAAGTTTGGTAAAGGCCAAACAAACGAAGCAAAAAGAAATACAAACTGCCTGTAGAAAATATAGATGTAAAATAAAAATGAATTCAAACAAAATGCAGTAATATTCCAAAAATGAGGACGGAAAATTGTATTTTTAAAAATGCAATAAAATTATGAGAAATGAATATAAAAAAAAACTAATGCCTGAAAAAAATACATAAATACATTTTTAAAATGCTTGGAAATAAATGAAATTAAAAAAAAAAAGATGCCTGGGAAAAAAAGTAAAATTACCTAAAACGTAAAAACATTTGAAAAAAAAAACACGAAAGAATTAAAATGTTGATTATATTGTGATATATTGACAAAAATAATGCTTGAAAAAAATACAATATTAGTACAAAAGTCTTAAAAATAATGAATAAAACACACACCCAAAAAATCATGAGAAATAATGCTAAAAAATGTATATAAAGTACATAAACCGATATACATGTTTTAACTTTTTTTAAATAAAAAGCTTGGGAGGAAAAAAATGAAAAGACCAAAAAAAAAAAAAACAATGCTTGAATAATGTCACCGAAGAACAAATTGAAATTAAAAAAAATGATTGGAAAATAATGCATTTTACATTAAAAAAAAAAGATACAGATGCTTTACATTAAAAAAAAAAAAAAAAAAAAGATTCTAAGCAACTTCTGCATCCACTTCTCCATTCACAAGACTGTTGTTGACGAGTGGACCGGACGCCTGTTCCTGCTGAACTGAGCCAGTGGTTGCGTAGGACTGATTATCAGCTCAGTAGGCACAGGAGGCCGAGCCCATTTCTTGCTGCCTATCACTCATGCTACATTTTACGATATGATTCATGTCTGGGGGTCCTTCTAGCTGTTACTGGATCATTGCAGTTTGTGAAAGGTGAAGCCAACTCTTTTTAAAGACCTCAATTATACCCTTGGCTGAATGGTTACCCCCCCCCCCCAAAAAAAGGGTGGGGGTGGGGGGCATAAACCATCCCAACATCATAAACAAAAAACTTCACGCCATAAATCCATCAAATGCTTTTCCACTATCAACAGTTGATGAAGAGAATCCTTTCTGGTCTTGCGCCATTAGGCCGTCATAAATCACCGGGGCTTCTACAGTTTCGACTGTCATATGGCCGTTGCTCTCTTTAACGGCCCGTTGATGGCCATTTGTCTTTTAATAGGCCCTAAATATAGGTGGACTGATGACACGCTCGACACGGACCTCATTCCTAATTCACACATCCGTCCTGGCCGAGACGGATGGCGCCCTCGACTGCGCGCGTCACTCGAATGTGCTATATAAGGACGCCGCATGCATGCCCCTTCATCAACGCGTGAATTAGTCAGGAGTTGATGGGAAGGCCCTTTCCGGGTCTTTCGTCTCTTTTCTCCTGTCTCGTGGGCAATGTTCTCCTCAGGTGCAGAACTTAGCCACTGTGAACAAAGAGGAAAGCAATCACTGTTCACCAATCAGCTAAGCTCTGCGCCTGCCCGGAGACGACACACACACGCGTGACCTGCGTACATCGCCGACGCCAGCTTCCCTAATCACGGTCAACTCCTCGCACTCCTCTGGATAATCATGTCTTCTTCAGTTGGAGACTGTGTCTGAGTGTGGTTGCCATGGTAGCCGGCCGCTCGGGTCAGGGCTGTGTGGTAATCCCTGGCAATGTGATTTTCATCATAAGTCACAAATCAGCACGCCAGGAACCCCCACAGCCCAGACAGGAGGCATCACGACACAGTTTTGCGCCTCACTATTTGCCGCTCAAAAATCCAAACTTTCCCCGGTGGATGTGAAATGGACCGGGCGGGGCGGGGGGGTTAAAGGTGTAGATCTTTCCTTTCATTGGCCACGCTCTGCTAACCAGGCGATATGCCTCTCATTAAGCGGATCAAGAGGGATTCCAAAGGCATGCGGCGCTCGGAGGGAATGCTGGGACGGGGAGACCACCCGTCTTCCCTTTTAAAGGCTTTGAAGAAGAAGAAAAAAAAAAAAGCCCTGATAGACGGACGGACGTGTTTTCAAAGCTCGCTCTGATCTCAACAAGCAACACTTGGAGAAAAAGAGCCAAGTTGTAAAAACAAAAACAACTCCAAAAAACACTTCATGCAGCCAGGGAGTAGAGTCATCCATCATCTTAATTGGCCAGAGGCCCGGACCACTCGGGTGCACTTTTGTTTTCACAAACTGTAGAGTTTTTTTTTTTTGGGTGAGGGGGTCATACATTATCTCAAACCCTCCGACATAACTGCTACCAAGTCTTGTCGCGAGGGGGTTGTCCACAAATGAGCTTTTTGGCCTTGGGTGACGACATACAAGGAGGTTCTCGGTAAACGTGGGTAAGTTAGCGGTTTCAAGGTATACCGCGGTTCCAAAACTGCTCAAACTGACGAGACTTTTCCTCAAGTTGACAAAGTCACCTCTGTTGGGAATCGCGGCAAATTTTGAGGTTCTGCACAGAGTGCTGAACTGGTTTACGCAACGTTTTAAGAAAAACGTCAGTGGCGTACTGCTTGTCATTTTGCACTGATCATCAGTGGCCTGGGATGGAAAGCACCTGTGAAGAAAAATAAAAGGCGTCCTTTCTGCCCTGATGATGGCTACAGAAATGGCGATTGTTGTTGTCCCTCAATCCACCTGAGATTTCAAACCCATCGAAACTGTGAGGCAGACGTGCTAACCGGTACGGCGCCGTGCTGTGCTATTATAGGTCATCCTTCAACAAAGTGCTCCCGTCAACTGGAAAAAAGGGATAGCATCAAAGTTTTTGTACCTGGAACAATTTGGACCTTTGGCACAAACAGTTCCAATGGAGTCCGATCACAATCACAAGCAGGTGCTACACTACGTCAGGGACAAAGAAGGAAAAGATGGAGTGACGTATGAAGACAAGCTGGGCAATTACAAATGAGCAAATGTCAAGACTTCATCCTGAGCGATTTATCAGGATACAGCCAGATGCACAAAAAGCTTTTTCACATCCTGGGCAGTGAGCTGTCTGGTCTAGTGTGTGCGTGTGTGTGTGTGTGTGTGTGTGTGTGTGTGAGATAAAGGATAAAAGCAGTCTCATGGTGGTGAGCTACGTGAAATAGGATTTTGAGCTGGAAATCAGTCACTCAGGTTAATGTGGCCCTGTGTTGAAAGCAGCATATCAAGGTCACCCCCACAGAAGCCTTGAATGAAAATATTTTCCCCCGAGCAAAGACGTTGACAAATCTTATATATGCTCCACGGACAGAAGTATTGGGACACGTTAGCATGACAGCTACCTGCGGGGAAAATGTCGACAATAAGTTGCAAAGGGCTTGACACTGGACGTTTTGCTCAGGAATTCACGAAAAATTGGACAATGTCCATGAGAATGAATGAGAAATAACTGCAAATTAAAAGGGGTACGTACGCCGTTGAAAAGCTTGTGTCTGGTCTGATTTGACGAGTGAAATTGCAGCCACACACACATGTCAGAGGACATTTCGGGGTTAAGGCTATAAAAAAATGACACCCGCTCATCCACTCCGCTCCGATCTGCTTTCTCTTTCCGCATTCCCAAATTCCTTCTCTGACAAACGCATCCCGGCGGCGCTATCGTGAGTGCATGGGAAAGGCCCCCCCATTCCTCAGACTGAAAATATGCACATGCACACACACACAGGCGCGCGCACAGCGGGATCCGGAGGAATGTGTCAGCGTCGGACGAGACGTGACTCTCGAGTGGAGTGGCAGACTACCTATCGCGAGCGTTAAGGACATGTCAGCACGTCTTCAACATGACGACGCATACCTCTGTCAAAGCCTAAACGTATGTACTCTATATCGCATGCGAACTCAATGCGCAAACACATTTTGTGACCTCTGTGACACTTGAAGAATTGCTACAGAGTACCTCAGATTGCTCCTGTTTTGAGTGCTGCTAAAGTATTTGGACAGTTGTCATAATCGTCAATAGAAGCGTTGACCAAATACTTCTGAACTGGACATTGTATCAAAAAGTGTCGAGAGGAAGTTTTACGACATCACAGCGGCTATGAAATCAATAGATAGGATGATCGCGGATGATTTGTGAATCCAGGTGAGCCACGTGAACGTCAGAAGCGACGAAGGGTAAGAACAGACCTCTCTTAGCCGTCAGAGCACCATCTCCTCCACCACCCTGCGTGCCGACTGGTCCATTTCCTCCCCGGCCAACGAGAGGCAGCGACGAGCCAGAGCCTGCTGCTCGGCGTCCTCCTGAACCATCAGCTCGCCGTACAGATACACACCCATAGCCTGTAGGCACACACGCACACACACACATACTGATGGTAGAACTACGTACACCCGTTTACCTGACGTCCGTTGTGTAATGTGTCCTTTACTTGATCGTGAAGCAAGAAGCGCTCCACGTCGCCGTAAGCGTTGACGTGTTTGTGTTTGACCACCAGCTCGCACCAACGATGGCGCACCTGGATGTCACAAAATAGGGAAAATCCAACCGGGGTTAATAGCAAAACACGCGAACACATTCCTGCATGTTGTTCTTCATTTGTCAGAGGCTATAAGAAGTCAGGAGCCCCGGGAAAGTTAATCACATCGCACTGGAAGCTGTTACGATACCCGCCACATATGATAATTCATATTGTGGGGGCGGCATGGTAGCGGTTGGGGGGTTCAACGCCCGGCCAATGTGACCATGTCGAAAGCGTCCTTGAGCAAGATACTGAACCCCTCCACCGAGTTGCTCCTGATGCTGCGTCATCAGTAGGTAAATGAGGTAATAGAGTTCGACGCTTTGAGTACCGAAGGTAGAAAAGTGAAAGTCCATTTAGCAAGACTTATCACCTCATCGGGCCCCTTTTTTTTCTAAGTCCTGGTCTCCTTGAAGTCCCAAAAAACAAGCGAGCGAAGGTGCGAGGCAGAGCTCGGCTCCAACGCTTGGCGGGCGGCCACGAAAACACTTTAAATGGAGCTGACGGCTCATCTGTGCTGGCTGAAGGCCCGAGCGCGTATTTTGGCTCCGGTCCTGACCCGCCGCGGTCCAGACGTGACGTTGTGCAAGGGAAGGTACGCGCGTGATCTCGTCAAGGTCGGAGCGCAACCTGATTTTTGAAGATGGTCCTCAAGAAGGGAGGAGGGCTTGATTGAATAAACCTGATGCTTGACCACTCCTAAACAACGAGATGGACTTTGGAGGACAAACATTCCGGAGCTGCTTTTCCAAACGCTTAGAAACGGCTTGCCTCCATTTGGGAACTAAACCCCCGAAAGGTTGCGCGCATCACTCGGAAAGCGACAAACCGTGAAGCGACAATTGAAATGAATTAGGCTGCAATTAGGCTACATGAAGTGAAATGACGCGACATTGAGGGGAACGGTCAGCCAAGGCCCTCGAAATGTTGTGTACTGGTCAATATGTCTTATTATTTATGTACGATTGTTGACGTCTGTGTGGATGCTTTTTTATTTATTTATTTTTTTGTCTTCTATCAGGGTAAACATAGCCCGATCGGGGATCTGTCACTGGAAAATGAAATTGGATTTGGCCATTTGGACGTGCTGTGCAGTGATAAGTCGACACATTTCAACCGACACCAAAGGACTGTTGCAAAAAAAAAAAAAAAAAAAAAAAAAAGGCGGGGTTCGTTGAGCGCAAGAACTGAAGCGCCCACCGAACTGATTCCCATAAAACATTTTTAGTGGTTTAGGGGAATTGGGATGGAACGAAAAACTCATTCAATTTTTATGTGGATCTCCCTCTGCTTTTAATAGCAATTTGACCTTGATAGAGGTCAGCGCTCTAACAGGGAAGATGGTTAAACGTAATCATGCTATGCTCCACTTGGGGGGCTCATCGCTTTACAACAACCCTGACACATGCGGTCAAGGTTAAGAATGGTGCCCGATGAACCAGTTGCGCAGTGGACGAAGAAAACGTCGTGCCAAAGGCTCAGTTATCATCGGAGTTTAGAATTTTTTTTATCTAAGGCCTGGAAGTCTGACGTTTCTCGAAGACGCTTCTGACCAAAGTCAACAAAGGCCAGATGATCCTCTCCTGAAAGATTTGCATACAAATAGTTATTGCAGTTGACTGCAGTTGGTTGAGGACAATTCCAGCGTGTTTTTTTTCAATAGAAACGATGGTGTTTCGGGGGACTGGAATGGATTTCAACTCATTTCAACAGAGAAAACGAATTTGGTCTACTCAAGGACAAGTCAACGTAAGACGGTACCGCGAAAGTTGTTCAAGGAAAGCCGAAAGGTCACCTCACAAGACATTTTGTCCTTTGCCGCAAACCTTTGCTTTGTTCCAATTGTTAATTGTTGCTTCCAAGAATAAAGTTGGCGCTCCATTGCCAAGGTAACATGGCGAGCGTGAGAAATCAGCGCGGCGGTGCGAAGGCGTGGGCGAAGACACGCGCCGTTTCCCCCGCCGACTGCCGTTTGGAGGCCCGTTGTGCCGCCTTGCGTTCAACCCGTCGTCGCGCTCACACGCACCACCCCCCTGGCAGCTGTTGCCTTGGCTGGCTTACATTCCGAGGGAGAGCCTTGGGGCACAGCAGCTGCATGGAGTTCATGCTCTCAGTTTTGTTTCTTTCAAATTTGACTTCGTCCTCTCTGAGGCACCCCCTCTTGCTCTGACAGTATAACATTCCTCCGTTTATTAGTGACCGCCCCCGCCGCCCCTCGCAACTGATACTACGCAACTTGCAGTACGAAAGACTCACGCCACATACCTCCACGCTGTCGACGTCGTAGTGTGACTAAAGCGCGTGAGAATGTGCGCTAGCATGAACAGGAACATTCAATTGTCTGCCTTCATTTTTTTCACTCTCATTTAAGTACTTTTTAAAAAGTCCAGTGGACACCCTGAGTAGGTAAACGCGGCATGACACATGGTGTCATCAGTCATAGTCAAGTTAATGACACCCAACTCGTGGCACCACCTGTTATTTTTTTTTTATTTATTTAGCTGCAGAGGGATAAAACTGAATAGCGATTAATTGCTTCTATTAGAGTCGGGGGGGGGGCACCATTTGAGGAAATGCACTGTTGATACAGTGTGGGGACTAAAAAAAAAATTGCTCTTGAAATCTTTTGGGGGCTTTAACAAAAACAAAACTCAACAAATTCTGCAAACGCAGGTGCTATCCTGACTAAAATGCAGACGAAAAGTCACCCAGTAAGCGCCCGCTAAAATGATACAAAGAAATAACTCACCCTCCACCTTCTGTGACATTCATTAATGGGTAACGTGGTGGGATCATCTTTTATGACATGCCGGACAAAAAAATGTCTCACGGAGCCATGATGTAAATGACAGGTGTCAAAGTCAAGGCCCGGGGGCCAGATCTGGCCCGTCACATCATTTGATGTGGCCCGCGAAAGCAAATCAAGCATGTCAAGTTCCATGACGCTTGCTAACGTCTGAACCAAAATGTTCATATGTAATCCACAATAACAGTCATTATTCTTGACTTTGGATTTTAAAACTAGTTATTCATCAATTTGTTGTACGCTCTGTCTGAAATATGTGGAGGGAATTAAACGTTTACATGGTTTCCCAAAATTCATAACGGCCCTCCAAAGGGAACCATAACTACGACGTGGCCCCCGACAAAAACAAGTTTGACACCCGTGATGTAAATGAACAGGAAGTCCGCCAGTTTGGTTGAAAGACTGGATCTTTTGTTGGCAATTTGAATTTTAAACCTGCAAATCAATCGGATTTGCAGATTTCCACGTCACAGGCTAATTACAGGGTGTCTTCGCTCTTTCCAAGTCGGAAGGCGCCATAGTCTCTCTCTCTCAAACATGTCAACACAGTAGTAAAGTCGTGATTGCTGTTAGCATTTGGGTTAATAACACTTTCGGAATACAAAACAATCGCATAAAAAGCACGGCAGTAACCGAGCATATCTTGTTGTGCTGCGTCACCGCATTTTTACGCTGCTGCGCAAAATTGTTCATCATGCGCCATTAGTAAACTCGCATTTTAGAAACAGATGCTTTCGATGCAATGGACTGACACGGCCTTTGATGCATATTAAGAACAAAAAAAGACATTTTTAACAACCCCCCCCCCACACACACACACACGCAAGCTGGACATCACATGGGACGAAAGGAAGCAGGGCAAAGTCACGCAGCAGGTCTCCTACATGCGGACACATGCTCCACTCCCATGCATGCATATGCGCGGTCACTCACAGCGTCCCCGCGGGCAGGCAAATTTGCGGGCAGCCGCCCCGATTTCCTTTTGCCCGCGGCGACTGAAAGCAAAGCTTTGCACGCGACGCTCAACGCTCGCGGACGACTTCACGCGTTTAGAACTAAAACAGATGCTGGGTGAGTGAACTTTTCCAGCACCTTTTCACTTTGAATCCAGCTGCTGTAACAAAAATGAAGAACACCGTGTACCGATGTGTACCACTTTGTGGGCATATGATTATAAAGACATGCTTGCTCGAGGCTTTTGTTTTGACACAATAAAGATGTGTTCCCGAGCCTGAAACGTAAAGTGTACATTATCTTTAAGACAAGAAACTTTAGCACCCGAAATGTACACGTGGAATTTAATGTCTATTTTACTTTCAATCCAGCCAGCGGAATCCTTCTCGGTTCTTATTGTAAGTTAATCACTCTGGCTACAGTATGTGGTAGTGCTTTTGTTTTGGATATTTATTTTGAGCATGAAATAATCAACAACAACCAACAGGCAAAAATAGACAATAAGCACTTAACCTGATTTTTCCCTGCTCAAAACGAGGCCTTTAAAGAATT